TACAATAAAGAATATGTAAGAAAAAGCATGCAATGAGTAAGACGAGAGTTGTCTCTCTTTGACTATCATTGTCTATTAAAGTTCTCTGAAAAGAAAGAGTTAATAGTTTGTAATAAATGTTTTTTAACAGTTTTGCTGTGCAAGAGGAAATTTATGTAAGTGTAAAGGAATATGCAGTTTGTGAGTGTTGAGTGAGAAGATCGGCGCATAGCTTCAACTGTCGTGGATTTCTATGGCAGCTGAAGCCTCACTCGTGTGTCTAGACTTTTTTCTTGCTTTTATAGGTGATCATTGGATCAGAAGTCCTGCGCGGAAAGAATCACTCTTCACGTGCAGACAATCTGATTGGTCGACACTGACCAATCAGTGAATGAGCTTTGGGGAGATTTCTGGGAGCCGATTCTCCCAAAAGTGCACAAAATCTACTATACGAAAATATAGCGATTTCAAAATTGTCGCATAAGACAGTAGCGTTGCTTTCTATCCAATGAATGATTGTTGTTGAAATTTGAATTTGTATAGGTATGTATGTGTGTGTGTGTGTGATGATGATGATGATCGCTATACTACTTTAATGTAAAATTCTTCTGAAGCTCCATTCGCAAATTCAAGCCATAATATACTGGTATATTTAATTTATTCAAATTCCACCCCATGGACCAGGCTTTAAAGCGAGGACAATCCGAAAAGAATATTCTATGATGTATATATTGCTATAATCCGGAAGAATTTATGATGTAGGAAAAATAAATTGTTAAAATGGTTTAACGTAAAAATAGAAAAGAATGGCCAATTTTCTTATCAGACTGGCACATTATACTAATATATATATATATATATATACTTATACTGTACTAATATATATATATACTATACTTATATTATACTAATATATATATATATATATATACTATACTTATACTAATATATATATATATACTATACTTATATTATACTAATATATGTATATACTATACTTATATTATACTATATATATATATATATATATATATATATATATATATATATATTTGGTGGATAGATGAGTTGGATTACTAATCAAAATATTTAATCTAACAAAAAACAAATTCATATTTTATACATGGAATGCTTTTAAATACTTTCATTGATAAATACCAATATATATTCATGCATAAGCCTCATTTCCTGTATAGTGCGACCCCTGAATTGTTTTGTGAAAAAACTTATATTTTTTTCATATAGCTCGTGTATAATGTGAACCCAGCTTCTGAGCAATACTATTGGGCCTACTGTAGTCAAATATTGTAACTTCCAGGGCAAACTTCCTACCGAATAAATTGTCTTCATTCTTTTTTGTGTAAAGCTGCCTCAAAATGGTGGGGGGGGGGACACTTACTGTAAAATATCTGATACGAAGACTTTAGATACCCCACTTTTGTTTTCGTTAATGCCTGACTACGGTTGTACTTTTGCCATGGGCCTGTTTCCTACCTAGCCAGAGTTTCTTTCCTTTTATCGCTATATGAAAAGCAAAACCTCATCGACTATGTGTGCCATTTGAACTCAACAAATACTTTATATGAATGGAAAATTTGCATTCATCTTCATTTCGCAAGTGTTTACATCGTTGAGGTATTGTCTTTCCAATGACTAGCCTTTCTGTCAAGATTACCGGTAAGTAATGCAAGGTGTCGTACGAATTGTGGTACATACTTCAGGTTATGAGCATTCAAAAGATTCTCAGTAAAAAGTATTTTATACACGTTTTTTTTCCTTTATTTTGCTAGAATTTACCTGTGTATAGTGCAACTGTAGAGGCATGTTAAGATAAATGACCATTGTGGATGTTTGTTTACGGCTGCGTGAATAACATGCCCACACAAAATACCACAAAGCATTAAATACAAGAAGAAGAAGGAACAAAAGGTTAAACAAAAGGTTAAAACAAGCACAACATTGTATTTATTTCTGTGTACATTCGTAGAAGTTAAAGAATTGATGGAGTTATGTCTCTTAGACTGGGAATATTTTTACCGGAGCTCACAAAGTTGGATTAATTATTAAACTGGAGCTTTAAAGAATAAAGTTCTTGTTGCATGTTTGGAAATGTTCTGTACGTTTGCAATATAGATTGGAAAATTTCGTAAGAGTTCGTACGTACGTGAATGCGTGAAATATTATTTAACGTCTGACCATCCATGGTCAAGACGATAATTCTCTGGGACTACATTTTGCAGCAAGAAGAGAGAAAAAAGAGAAAAAAGGCAAACTCGTGTTTGCTATTTATAAATAATGTAATCACGTGACAGGATCAAAAGAACATGGCGGGGAACTTGACTTAGTCACGCACTGAAAAAATATATTGTGCGTGGGTGGATTGCAACGCCCACTTGTGTGTTTATTGACCAATTAGAAGCTGATATTTCATGAAAAATATTTACTAAGCTAAGAAGGCTCTTGGGATCCGATTCTCCCAAAAGTGCACAAAATCGACTACATGAAAATATAGCGATTATAAAATTGTCGCATAGCTGCGATTTATAAATTGTCCATTACACAGTAGTGTTGATTTATTATCCAATGAATGCTTGTTGTTGTATAATTTGAATTTGTGTAAGTATGTATGTATGTGTGTGATGCTGATGATCGTCACACAACTGGTTAGCGATGATGCATGATTTTTAACCTTTTTAGAAAGATATAGAGTGACCTCCTAATTTTGTTGCTTAAAAAATTGATAATAAAATGTCGCACCACACCTGTGTAGAAATTGTGGGTAATATGAATAAACATCGAAATACGGTTTGTTAATTGAATATTTTTTAGTGGGGTGGGGGGGGGGGCGAAGAAATGAGTATCGAACCGCTATGTAATTAATCTCCTTATAATTAATATCCTTATATGTAATTAGTATCCTTATATATGTCAGTAAATGCTGGACATTTCCGCTCGGTCTTGTCTGAGTTTCTGACCCGAGGAGTTAATCACTATTTACATGCGGACATTTGTCCTCATGCCGACAAAAGAATCTACCACTCCGTAGATTAAACAAAGGGTTCAGTTCTAAATTCCCCGAAGGTTACCCGGATTGTTATACATTTGATGAAGGCTGGAGGGTACAACGGTCGAAACGTTGTGATAGCAACAACTAAGAAGAGTACAATAGTCCGCATGTAAAAAAATGAAAATAATTTCCTCACAGGTGAAAACGAGACTTGAGACACCCGAATCAAAACCATTGCTATGAAAATATTTATAAATAAAAAAAAAAGACAGAGGAAGCCACGTGACGTCGGTGAGAAAGTGATTGAAGTCGAGATGCCAGGTCAGGACTGATAACATTACAGACCCTTTGAATTTTGTCAAGAATCTTGAAAAAGACCAGATATGAGAGCAATATCCAATGCATGGACGAATGAATATTTCAAAGTGAAGAAGCATCTAAAACGTACTCTTTTTACCTTGATTCTAACACCGATTTCTGACGCTTGTGAAAAAAGCCTAAATAATCCAGTACAAATATGTAACTTACCTAATAGGCACATGGACTTCGTAATGTACACAATCTCATCACCGTAGCGCAAATAAAAGGTTTCAGTTCGAAATTCCCCGAAGGTTATTCGAATCGATCGAAACATGAAGAAGGCCGTAGTGCAAAACCGTCGAAGCGTTGTGATAATAACAACAAAAATGAGAACATTTTCGAATGTAAAGAAATAGAAATGTAACCAAGAAGTATTATAGTAATTTCCTAAGCATAGCTTAGATGTGGCACAAGGCCGAAAGTATGGAGCACCCAGTGAGGATAGAACTCACTATTCAGTCGTAATTGATCTAAAGAGACAAGCTTGGTAACCATTACATCACGCTGAAGTTTCCAAACTATTTTGCATTGTAATATATTGATTTACTAAGCATAGCTTAGATGTGGCACAAAGCTGAAAGTATGGAGTTCTCAGCGAGTATCGAACTTGGTATTCAGTCGTAAGTGATCTAGAGATACAAGCTTGTTAAGCATTACACCACGTCAAAAAGCTGTGAGACGTGTTATTAGAGACGGCGAAAAAAAAGAACGAAAGGGGAAAGTGCTAATATCAGTCTCCTCCTAGATGGCAGTGAATGCCAGACAATCTCCTCACAGATGAAGAGGAAACTTATAGCATTCTATAGAATGATGCGCAAAATATCATGGACAGTGCATGTGAGTAACGAGGAAGTGTATAATAATTGCCCATGGTTAAATGTAATCGGCTGTAATGTCCAACAAACAGAATTGACAAACATTCCAATAGACATCAACGAAAGAAAGAAAAAGAACATGGCTAAAATAATACTAAGCAAACAATATATGCAAGACAAATGTAAGCTAAATAACAGGAATGATGCAAAAATGTTCACAAGCTAAGAATGGTGTTAACTCACAAAACGAGGTACAGACAAAAGATGGCAGTGTTCTGACTTCAAGACAAGAATGAACCAAAATATGGCGAATGAGACCGAGAAGTATTCTTATTGGCTAGAAAGTAATCCCAGCATGCATCTGTACAATTTGTATATAAATTTGGGAAAGGGGTTGATTTTGCAGTCATTCCCTATTAGATTGGAATCAATAGGACGTTTTAGGGAAAATGGAAACAAAAAGGGGACACATACTTCGGACAAAAAAGACGATTGAAATTTCTAGAATATGTAATGAGGAAAGAAGGCGTAGAGAATTTGACACTTATATGAAATCTTGAAAGTAAGAGGAGACAGATAGGGAAAGAGCAAGAAGCATACCTATCGAACTAGAGTAAATTGATGGCATAACAAGTATATGAGGTATAGTCAGGGGTCAAATATTGTTTAGATAACACAAGTGACAGGCGTTCGAGACCAGGTAAAAAGGATAGGAAGCTGTGGGAAATCATGATTGCTCACATTCTAAATGGAAATGGGTGATAAAAAAATGGAAGATTCCATCTATGCGGCAGTCCCAAATAACTGTCATTTCTTACCTCGAGGTCTTCAGTCTGTAAATGTCTTTTCCTTCCCGTTTCTCCATCCGATACAAATCGCCCAATTCAGATCGGTCTGACGCAAGCGCACAGTCGCCATTTAAACAACTGGGCCTACGAGTATCGCCTGTGTTCCTTGGAAGCTGTTCGTTGTTCACTAAAATAGCAGGTACTCGTGGGGATTTGGTCGGTGTTACTACTCTTGAAATAGACCCGCTCGACGTCTCGAGATTATTACGAGGCGGTTTCAAATGTCGACTGCTGGACGCTGAATCAGTTCTGGATCCACGCGAACACTGACTGGATGAACGAAGACCACGTGGGACGCTAAGTTGCTGCTCGTGTCGTTCTTGCGTATCACGTCGCTGGATTAACTGATATTGCAAGGAGTTAAATTCCAGAGAAGATAAGGTAGAGGGCAAAATTGGAGCGCCGTATTTTTCCCCCAAAAGTATCTGCAAATTATGTTAAGGAAGATTTTTAAAAAAATAAGATAGCTCAATTAATATAACGTTTAACATTTAGTAAAAAAAAAAACCACTAGATTTTTTTTATCGTCTTTTATAGTCCAGTTGAAAAATGAACCTTGTTGGTAGGATAAACTACATTCAGCAGCAAGGTCTCTGACCTGGTGATTGGAGGTCTTGAGAAGCTTGGAACCACCTCTTAATTTGCTGTTTGGTAGCACCTGTTATTGGCAAATAGTGAATCCCTCAAACAAAAACAAAGCACTATGAAAGTTAAAAATACATTTTTATAGTAACAATACCAGCAATACATTTTGTAGTATAATTACCAACGAGATAATTTATCTGTAGGTGAAGGCATACAATTGTGTTCAAAATATTTAGATTTCGATATTAAATAACCCATAGAGATGTTGATATGCCGCTAAACAAAATCAACCAACCAAACAAATCTTCTTGGTCACTGACAGTAGTCTATTTCCACAGCTGCCACTGGCTCGAGTTGATATAAATACTTCCCATGTATGACAGCATACGAGACGTGCACACATATTAGACGTAACTCCTTTTTCAACAGGGAATGCACAGGATAAAAAAAAAAAGATTTTTGTGTATTTAAGCATGTAAAGTTTAAAACATGTTGTCAGTTAATTACAAAACTTTACGAAAGCATTTATCATTATTTACACGCGGATTATTATCCTCATCGTTGTTGTTGTTATCACAAGGTTTCGGACGTTGTTCTCTCAGGCCTTCATCAGGTGTATGCGATCCGTGTAACCTATAGGAGAATTCCAAACTGAACCCTTTATTTAATCAACGAGGGTAGAGTGTTCTCATTCCACTGCCCATGTCTAAAGATATCTCGTCTAGTTCTTATCTTTTGTACTGTTCAGTTATTGCTCGTAAGTCTAAGACTCGAATTTAGCAACTGAGAATTGTCTCACAGGACAATAGACTAGTGGGTTAAAGCGTTGATTCGTGAAGTTGGTGAATCCCTAGAATTGAACAATAGAATCAGAGCAAACAATAACTGAGCAGTCTACCCTCGTAGATTAAATAAAGGGTTCAGATCAGAATTATCTGAAAGCTACCTGGATCGACATACACCTGATGAAGGCCGGAGGGTACAACGGCCGAAACGTTGTGATAACAATAACAAAGATAAGGACAGCACTCTGCATGTAAATAGCGCAGTTTTCAAGAATACAATAAAATATTTGTAGTTATTGTACTTAGATGACAATTTTGAAAGCTATATCTCTTCAGAACATTGGCGATCATGGGTCTCCACAGCATCTTAGGCTTTTTATTATCCCTCTCTGTTATGCCATCCATTTACTCGTTCTGTAGTTCACACGCTGTTTCCTTCTGCTCCACTTGTTTTCAATATATCCCGTGAGTGTTAAATTCTCCAAGCCCTCTTGCCTCATTATGTGTCCCAGATGTTTCAACTGTGATCTTCTGATTCTTTTTGTACACGGTAAAATTTACTGTACAGTGTCATTGTCACATAAAGCCAATTTAATATTTTTCTCTTTGGTATAGTTATTCATAACAAAAACTATATTGATGATAATTTTTCATGAGTAATTTATATTTTCCCTTCGAAACGAGCACCTTTGCTAAAAAACAGAAAAAAAAAGGAAAAATACACACCACAACACGGGATTGGCAGCCCGAATCGATGCAGTTGCCCAAGACAGAAGTGAACATTTCAAGCCGGAAGCTGTCCAGGCAGGTCGGGTCACTTTGGTTCAAATGGAGGTCGATGATTTCGAGATGGACTCCTTTTTGCTTCGCAAGAAGTCTTAGCCTTGGGAAAAGATTGTTGCGGAATGCTGTACATTCTGTTGACATGTCTGAATTTTAAAAAAAAAAAAAAAACGAGTGGCATTTGAGATCGGTGTGTGGTAACAAAGTGCCGGCGATTTTTATCATTGCTTATTTTTTATTGCTGATTAAACTTTCACTCGCATAGCGTTTGTCAGATTAAAATGTCTAAGCTAAACATTAGTCATCAACAAATAACTCAGATTTCTTTATTATAATAACTAGGCTTGCCGGGTTAAGTCATTTCCGTGTTTTAAAGCGGTCAAAACCGAATAGTTCATTATTTCTGAGGTATTGGCAGGGCGTAACGGTCGCGCGAACTAAGTAACAAACTAACGAATGAAAGGGCAAGTAAAATTATAATAAGGAAAATAATAATGATAATGGTTTTGAAAAATCATGTTGAGAAGACATGCAGCTCCATCCGATAAAAGCACATCTTTTAAAACGTTTGAGAAACTAAGTCAATACAAGGGCATTTCAGTATCTGTCTATATTTCTGAGATGAGGTATTATGTACATTATTTACATTATTCGGACTATTGTCCTCATCTTTATCGCCATATTTATTACAACGTTTCGGCCTTTCAGTATCTGTCTATATTGCTGGGATAAGGCATTATGTACATTATTTACATTATTCGGACTATTGTCCACATCTTTGTGCCTCAAGGACACATGGCACAGTAGATAAAGGCGTTAGTTAGATCCAGTGACAGGACCCAAAGAGTGTGAGTTCAATACCCGGTTAAGGCAGTGGAGAACTTTCAGAGGGAAATTAACAGGAGATAACTGATAACTGACATCCATTAAACATGGCACGTGGAACTAGAACAGTCTACCCCAGTGAGCGAAATAAAGTGTTCAGTTCGACATTCCAACCCCCTGAAGAAGGCCGGAGCGTACAACGGCCGAAACGTTGTAATAAATATGGCGATAAAGATGAGGACAATAGCATCACCTGTTGTCATTAGGGCTTCGGGGAATGATATCAAAAAGAGCAAAGAAATACGTGGTTCAAATGCCTGGTCGTCTTAAAATTGCAAGGTGAATTGCAAAAAAATCATACTCATGGCTGCTTCTAACATCTTACGTCGATTTCTCTCTAAACAATGACCACATTTACGTATTTTTCTCCCCAACATGGCAGCATATCACATCTATTTACATTTTTGATGCACAAAATGTTGTCTCTTGAGGTCATTGGTTAAGACATGGGGACACTCAGACTTTAATCAAAAGGAACAGGTGTAGATGCTTCTCCATCCTAATAATCTTTTCCTACCATGTCCCGTTTCACTCATATCACATCACATCCATCAGGACCATTTTAACAGTAAGCATCTACCTTGAAAGGCTCTTGGGCTTTTATTGGAAGGATTTTAGTAAAAAATGCTTTCTCTCTCTTTTTCCCTCATTCTATCTATTTATCTATCTATATATCTATTTTAATATCTATGTATCTACATCATTCTGTTAAAATCTATCTATCTATCTATCTATTTACCTCAGCCTGTTAATATCTATCTCATTCCGTTTCTATCTATCTATCTATCTATCTATCTCAGCCTGTTAATATCTATCTCATTCTGTTTCAATCTATCTATCTATCTATCTATCTATCTATCTATCTATCTATCTATCTATCTATCTATCTATCGTAATCTGTTAGTCTTCTGTCTTTCTGTCTATATCTATTTAGCTATCAATATATCTATCTTATTCTGTTTCTTTCTATCTATCTCTATATTTATATCAATCTAACTCATTCTGTTTCTGTCTCAATCTTTTCATTTCTATCCATCTATGTATTTCAATGTTTTGATTTCTATCTATCTATCTATCTATCTATCTATCTATCTATCTATCTATCTATCTATCTATGCCCCATTCTGTTCTTATCTATCTATCTATCTATCTATCTATCTATCTATCTCTCTCTCTCTCTCTCTATATATATATATATATATATATATATATATATATATATATATATATATATATATATATCATTCATTCTGTTCCTATCTATCTCTGTTAATATCGATATATCCTAATCTATCTACCAAATTCAAAGATTCTGTCACAAATAATTTGTAAACTTACCTCTATCCGCCCACACACACAGTCTGAATAAATTATTGTTGGTTGAAATCGGCCATGCGATGTCTCCTTGATATACTTTTCTTTTTGTGCCATTCGCGGTGACACAATTTTTCGGAATGTTATATAACGGGAGTGTCAGAAAATCAGCTTTTAATGTAGCCGGTGCCCAAGACATTGTGGCTTTGTCAATTTCCTGCTTCTCGACCAAAGTAGATGCCAAGGAATTGTCGCCACTATTAATGGAAACTGCCTTTGCGCACCTTTCATTCAAATCATTGCATATGTTATCGACTGAAAGATGATCGCTTGGCAAAGAAAGATCACTTAAATCACAGCTGAAATAAATCTTTCCGTTGATCCGTGCCTTTTGAGCGTGGTCGTTGCATAGCGATGACATAGCTTCATTTCTGTGCTCCCAATTTGAGCCGTGGTAATTTTCAACTGCTTTGAGCGAGCGCTCATTCTTATCCACTTCCTGGACGGCAGATGGCAGCTGAGCAGAACGGACTTGGCAATCATTTCGCCGGAAACGCTCTTTCTCACTAGACATCTCCAGCAGACGAGTACTGCCGTCATTTAGATAACTAGCCCCAGACGCTTCAGCCGAATTTGAATCACAGTAAAAATTTCGGAGACATGCTGTTTTGTTGGGACTGGAAGCTAACAGCACGTCGTTTTTCATAATATTATTAGCAGTAACATTTTTATTAATCGTATTCTGTTTATGTCGGAGACGAAGGCAATTTTCTTTCTCGGAGTTATTTGATAAAATGAAATCTTTCTCAAGTTTCGGCAAAATCAGTTGCCGTTCAGAGGACATCTTGTTTGGTTGATCAAGCATGTTTGATAAATTTTCATCCTCAGGTTTGTTCACCTGAAATTAAAATTATATGTACATTAAAATTATTTAAATATAATATTTATTGTTCAGGTCTCTCCCTGGCTTGAAACACCGGTTCCCGTTCAATCACCGAAGTTAAGCCTGGTCAGCACCTAGATGGGGGGGGGGCGCTTGGTGATGTAATCGACAATGGTTCGTAATTGTTTATCGGAGAGCCGACTTCCAATTTCCGTTAATTTCGTTATATTCCCTTTCGTGCAAATATCCTTTGGAAACGCTATGAGTCCACCAACAGCTATGGATTAATTAATAATCATTTTAATCGTCATTAAACCATTATTATCTCCAAAAGAGAAGCTTAAAATGTACAAATATCTTCAGGCTTTAAATAACCTGCAAAGGGTTGATAAGCCGTAGGAAACGAATCAATAAATCAGATCTCTCTTTAGCTCTCCTTCTCTCAGACGAACACACTGTAGTATGAATGGACCGTTTCTTTCTTTCTTAGTCTATCCGTATCTATCTATCTATCTATCTATCTATCTATCTATCTATCTATCTATCTATCTATCTATTTCATTCTGTGTCCATCAATCTATCTCAGTCTGTCTCTATCTACCTATATATCTTTGTATCTATCTACAGGGTGCGATGGATAAATTGTCGTCTAAATTATGCGAAAATGAAAAATAATACTGACATCTCATTTTAACAGATACATTTACTAAAATTACACAAAAAATAAATAATAAAATAAATTCAATAAAATAAATAAAATAAATTCAATAAAATGAATAAAATAAATTTACTAAAATATGTTGAGAACATCTCTTCCTCTTACGTATTTTGATCATTTTGTAATTTTTTAAAGATTTCTTTTCAATTTTTTTTTTTTTTTTATAAAATGGTAAACAATAAATCTTTATAAAAGGTAATAAACATTGCCGAGCACCTGTTATTGACACAAAAATGGACACAATAATAGCGGTGTGAAAGGAATAAACATCGTTTTGATTCACCGTTTTTTGTTTTGTTTTTTTTTTTGTACATAAATGTTAAATATTACCACCCAATGATGCAAAAATGACTCATCCTGTATCAGAACAATTTATTTGACAGAACTTACCTCGCTAATACTTCGGAAGAGTTTAGTTTTTGTGTGAGTTGATGAGTCGGCGCTGTATATCGATCCTGTGCAAGGGCCATCCTTGAACCACGATCGTAAGTGTCTTCGGGACTGTGAAACAATGAAAAATAAAATTAAATTCGAATTTATCGAATTTACGGAGCAAACGATCACAATAACAGACCGTCCTGTATAAGACGATAAACTACATCCGCGCCCTGGGTAAGACGATAAACTACATCCGCGTCTCTTAACTGCTGGTGTTCTCAGATCCACCCTGACCCGGAGTGGCAGCACCTGTTATGGTCCTAACTCTGGGCAAATAGTTAACCCCCCCCAAACTGGGTTCAAAAACTGTAAAAATAGGTTTTAATACCAGCAAAACTTTTTTGTAAAAATATATTACTAGCAATGAATTTCGAAGAAAAAAAAATGGTGACAAGCAATACATTTTTTGAAAAAAATATCAAAAATACTTTTAAAAAAATTATTACCAACAATGAAAATCTTGTCGGCATTAAACAACCCATTAAGGTTGATATGCCGAAAAACAAATCAAACCAAACCAGAATAATAGAGGTCTTCTTCGTCTTCTTTTCTTCTTCTGAGCATAGGCGATTATGACTCTCCACAACTTCCAATCCTTTGAAGCTCTTAGTAATGTTTGTCTTTTTGCTATCCTTTTCAGCCCACTTTCCGCCATCCATTCACATTACCCCTGTCCCTTCTACCTTCGATATATCCTGTGAGTGTCAAACTCTCTAAGCCCTCCTTCTTCATTACGCGTCAAAGAAATTTCAGCTCTCTCTTACTGATATTGAGTATAAGCGCGTCCTTTTTGTTTCTATTTTCCTTTAGACTTCTTCGTTGTTATATGATCCCTCCATTTCTCCTGCAGAACAACATTTCTGTTGCCTCCAGTCTTCTTTTTGTATATGCTATTTACATTGGAGCAAACAACCCCCCCCCCCCGCCATATTCCACTGGGGAGAAGTAAGTTCCACTCGAACAGTTTCTTCCTGCAAACCACTGCTCTGTGGAACCGATCCCCAAGAGAATGTTTCCCCGATCATTACAATATGTTCAAGTCTAGAATCAGCCGTTATCTTCCTCTCTTATAAACTGCCTCTTACTCTAATCATCCATACTCTACCTCGAGTATCAACCGGACCGAAAAAAAAAAAAAAAAAAAAAAAAAAAGATAAGAAAATGGCTTGACAAAATGTCAAGGTTTTGCGGCCATCTTTCGGTTGTGGTTTACCAAACTTGAGAATTGACAGCAAGATTTTTTTTTTTTGTCAGGAAATGTCATCAATTGGACAACATGAAATTCATCTCTTGGTTTGCCAATGGCAAAACTCTGAACAAAAATTAAAAGTTTATTTCTTTGACGTTTTCGAAGATATGGGATAGACGAAATGCCGCAATACGATGTTGCATCGATTTCACAGGGGATCCTGAATACCTCAGGAGAGATGTTGAGCCATGCCATCATCTCAATTGCTCTCTACAGCCCCCCACCTTGATAATTGTAGGTACAGAATTTTTCGACCTAATAAACACCCCCACTGCGCCCCACTGAAATCCCATAGGGCGAATATGGTAGCCACACCATCGGAAGGTGTCAAGTTCATAACAGTCATAAGTCATATGTACTAAAACTGGCTTTATTGAATGCAAGAAAACTCTTCACTTTGCCGAATGGTTTCCTCTTCAGGACATGGGCGATCATGGCTCTCCACGACGTTCTATTCCTTGTGACTCTTAGCAGTTTTTATCCCTTTGCTAAGGCTCACGCCCTCCATCTCGCCATCCATTCGCATGAACACGTTAGGTAGATGTCTCGATGCCTTCTCTTCTCTCTCAGTATGCCCTGTGAGGGTTAAGGTTTCCAAGCCTTCCTTTCTCATTATGTTTCAGCTGTCTCTATCTCTGATTTTGAGTATAAATTGTTCTTTTTGTTGCTATTAAAAATTAAAACATAGAAATTTAAAGAGCTAAATTTTATATCTGAACAAGGAGCGTTTCCTATAGCTTCTGCCAGCCTTACCTTAGATGAGAAAATATATATCCTGCTCCTGAAATCATTGTTCAAAGCTGCAATCATACGCTTCGTATTAACCAAATCTTGACTCATTTCAAACGATATCCATTTTCTTTCTTTCTTTCTTTCTTTCTTTCGTTCGTTCGTTCGTTCGTTCTTTTTCTCGTTCGTTCGTTCGTTCGTTCGTTCGTTCTTTCTTTCTTTCTTTCTTTCTTACTTTTATTGGAAGCATTGTCGACCATTATAATTATTATTGAATGAAACAAAATCACGCCAACAAAATGGCGCAGGCTGGGGTGTAAATTTTCTGAAAACCGACACACCCATCATGACGATTTTTTTCTTTCTTTCTTTTTTTTCTTTCTTTCTTTCTTTCATTTCATTATAATTATTATTTTCACGCTAACAAAATGGCGCAGGCTGGGGTGTAAATTTTCTTTGACGATTTTTTTTTCTTTCTTTCTTTCTTTCATTCTTTTGGAAGCATTATCGACCATTATAATTATTATTGAATGAAAGAAAATCACGCCAACAAAATGGCGCAGGCTGGGGTGTAAATTTTCTGAAAACCGACACACCCATCATGACGATTTTTTTTTTCTTTCTTTCTTTCTTTCTTTCTTTCTTTCTTTCTTTCTTTCTTTCTTTCTTTCTTTGGAAGCATTATCGACCATTATAATTATTATTGAATGAAAGAAAATCACGCCAACAAAATGGCGCAGGCTGGGGTGCAAATTTAAGAAACCCGACACACCGATCATGACAATCAGTCTGATAAAAGTATACCAGCCACACGCACCACAGCCAAATGTGAGTTTACAGGTTTTGATAAAAAGCAACACATAACCTAGCAGGTAGGGGTTCAGTTAGAAATACTTTCAGGTCGTGTAACCCAGTTTGCAGAGATGATCTCTGGTTGAGGGTGCTCCCAAGTATCTAGTTTTGACTCTCAAATTGTTTTGACTACCTGATCATTCAAAGTTTAAAAGAAAAAACGGTTATGGTGCGTGTCACCTACTCTCGATCATGAACAGTGATGCACTGTGTGTCGGTCGGCCTCAGGGAGTCATGCTCATCTTCTTAAGGTCAGACAGGTGAAACAAAATCTGTAGGACTGAACAGGTTTAGACACGATAGTCTATTGTAATTAGTCAAAACAAAACATACTATGTTAACCCTCCCAAACAATTAAGATTGGAAGCTATTATTATTATTATTATTATTATTATTATTATTTCCTTTGATTTCTGTTGCATAATCTTTTCCTTCTGGGTCCCAACCACAGATCCAAACTCAGAAACGGCCCCATGACATTTTCTAGTGATTATTTTTGTAAAAAAAATAAATACTAAGATCGCATATTTTACATAGATAAATCTCCTTGTAATGTGTGAGCTGTGCTTGTGAGTACAAATTTTATATTCCTTTAAGGCATGGGCTACTTGGAATCCCTTCAATGCATCTATTGAAACCTTTTCTAATGAATCCGAGTGCTCCAGTTACAATAGGGATTATTGATATCCTCATGTGTCACATTTTTTTAGATTTCCATTTCAAGATCCTTGTATTTCGATATTTTTTGAAGATCTTTGACGATGCATTACAATCTGCATGAACTGCCATGTGAATAAGAAAAGACATTCTGTTTTTGTGGTCTTTGATGTCTGGGCGATTAACTTTGATTGTTCTGTCTCTGTGTCTTGTAAAATCCCATAAAATCGCTACAGGTCCTACCTTAGTAACCGGGTCTGAGTGATGTTCATACCAGTTTCTTACAGTTTCCTTCCCATAAAAGTTGCATATTTCCCAGTGCAGATATTGGCCCCACTTTATCATGCCAAATTTTATATTCAGTGGGTGCAAATACTGTGCAATTTGATACAAGATGGCCAATTGTTTCTGGATATTTTATCACAGAACCTTTATTTCGGGTTAACACAATTTTTCAATATGTGTAATATTATTATTATTGTGTATGGTATCATTTTGCCGGAGAATAATTTTAAATGCCTAATTTCCATGTCCCCTCCAATGTCTATGAGTAAAAAGGAAGAATTATCTATGCACATTTGGGATGTTTCATTTAAATGCAGAGGATTTTGCAAACGATATGAGCAGTTCCACACAAAGTAAACTTTTACTGCTCTGAGAGTATGATGTGTCAGGAATTTTACTCACATCAATTCTCGGTAATCTTCTTTATCGTACCCAATGTCCCATATCATAACAGGAATAATCGTAGTTTTAAGTTTCCACATTTTTGTTACTTCGATTTGCATGTCCTTATAATTTGACAGTTTTTTTTTAGAAATACTAGAATCCTGCGGGTAAGACATATTGGCCGATTCATTTTTTAAAAATCTTTTATGACTATGTCTGGTCTATTTGCATCAATTTTCCTGTCTGCGAGGACTGAGAAATTCCACACTCCATAACCATTTTTGGTGCCATTCGAGTGATGTTTGTACCTTGTATCTGGGGATTCAATACCATAGTTCAAATATATATGCCAGTGGATATATTGTCATAGCCTGTCGTGTCTAATCATGCATACTTTCTCAACAAAGACTGGGCAACCTGATGCTATGTGGTCAACAGTTTCATCAAATTAGTGGCAGGATTTTAGCCATCATTGCTGATCTTAGCCTTGCAGCCATTATTTCTTTATTTCTTTATCATACCCAACGGCTCTATCACATTAGGGAGATTCCTCATTAAGCTTCCTCATTTCTATTACTTCGATTTGCAGGTCCTTATAATTTGACAACTTTTAAAATTCTTTTTCTAGAAACATTGAAACTTTGTGGGCAAGTCATATAATTTAGTTATCAGATTCCTTTTATTATTATTATTATTATTATTATTATTATTATTATTTAATTTCATTTTAAATTTGTGATCGCGTTTTATAGAACTTTACAGACCGTCGATCTGCGACAGTCTTTAAACAGCGCAGATCGGATAAAAAAGATCAGGTGTCTTTGAGATTCGACTTAATGTCATGAAATAGTGTGGTGGACCTAAGGTTAGATCTAATTTTCTGTGTATCGTAGAGCACTCGTAGATTGGTCGGTTAGAGAAGCTAGTGTATTCTGGGAACACGTGTCTCAGTGAGACCTTATTTCATCTTTTTTTTTTGTTTTGTTTTTAAGCTGCTTTCAGTTCATTGTCATCAATCAATAGTCTGAATAAAGTTGCAATACAAACGTAACAAAGAAACAAAACGACCAAGATCTATTTTCAGGAATAGAAGGCGCTTACCTTAAGATGTTCCACGACGATTTTGTTTGCTCGAGAAATTTCTGGAGCTGTCCAATTGTTCCATAGCTTGAAATGCTAGATAGAAAGATAAATATACAGGGGTTTATATTAGTTTTATTATTACCACTCATGATAATAAAAAGTAAAAATGAAAAACGGGCTAGCAAACCGGTTTTGTACCTCGCTCAACAGAGCTAAATCGAGGTAAATAAAGTAAATTATATAAAAAAAGAACAATGGACAAAGTGTATTGGGGGGGGATATTTAAATGGTAATTAGTTGGGGGCCTAATATAAAGTCCTTCTGTTTACATAGAGAAGGTTTTAATGATGGCCTCCAACACTTTTAGGTGGTAATTAGAGTGGGAACTGCTAAGGATGATAAAAGCGTCTGCACTAAAACTAACATCGCAATTATGGCGATTTATAAGGTGTTCTGCGATGGAAGACCCTTATATGTTGGTTAAAATGTCCGAGGGAGTGTACTTAAGGTTTCTGATTTTCGCTGGAACGTGTTGTTTTATTCTAACATCCAGCCTTTGCGTCGTTCTCCCTATGTAGTGCGAACCACAACTACATTTAAAAAAATAAATTAACGAAATATTATGATGTGGAGGGAGAACATCTTTACGCATAGACGGAAGGACAGGCTTGGCAGTGAAGACACGAGTGCTAGCGGCAAAGTAACAATGTCGAACTGCGGTATAAACCTGTTTAGCAAACCTATCACTGATACTACCTAGTCAATATATATATATATATATATATATATATATATATATATATATATATATATATATATATATTGTATATTTAGGCAGCAATCCTTCGCTTATGCATGTTT